TATCTTGTATCCAGTACGGCTACAGTATAACTGCTAAAAATGACCTTGTCGGTCATTTTCATTATCATATTCGTAATCAGAGCATCAAAATATAATGGTATGTCAATCGACAAGAAAATCGAAGGTTTCACCTTTTCTGAACTCTCGTGATTTTGTCCCCTGACGTAACCAGAAACTTTGAATTTGATATTAACGACTACAGTCTCTTTAAGCCAAATTACGTTTAACCTGAAAACATGGAAAATTTTCCAATAAATGCCACGTTAGACGCTACTGCCAAAGAGATCGATAATGGAATGCAAAGAGCAAGAGACAACCACGAATGCAAATTATTGAAAATTAATAAAATACAAACAACTACCTACCATCCTCAAATTAATGGAGCACTCGAACGATCTCATGGAACATTGGCCGAATATCTTCGACACTTTGTTAATGTGGATCAAACCGATTGGGATGATTGATTGCCATGCGCTATATTCGCGTATAATACCACCTCTCACACCACAAGGTACACCCCATTTGAGCTAATGTATGGGCATGTATGGGCATATGTAGGCAATACTATATTACCTACAGCCTTATTAAGCCCCTTGAAACTATCGTACAGTTATGATAATTACACGCAAAAATTAAAAGAAAGAATATGCGCATCCAATCAGATTGTGAAACAGCAATTAAAAGAAGAAAAACAGAAAGCCAAGGAATATCAAGATAGGAAATCAAAGGAAATAAAATTCAAGGTAGAGAGAGGAGATGAAGTACTTTTATACGACAATACGGGGAAGATCGAAAAAATTAGAGTCCCCGTAGATAGGTCCCTATACGGTAATTGTAAAGCATTTTGTAAATTATAAAAAAGAGACAAAAAACGCTATGTACGCACATAAACAAATTAAAGGCATTTATAACTAAATAAAAAATGGAAAAAGCACTCATCGGAAACAGTAACAAGATGCCAGGAAAAGCAATCCAAATATGATAGTATATATGTTATATAGTACACTAGACTGTACTATACTACACACTACTACACTAACTACTACACTACTCATAAAAAATAATAAAATAAACATAAAGAGGCATACAAATACTGTAAAGCTAATCGTCCATGACTAGCTCGCCGAATCGAAATCACGAGGCTGTTTCGCTATAAACAAGAAGACCTCTTCCTCAGCCTCAACTTCGTCTTCGTCTTCGTCTTCCTCTTCATCCCACTTGTCCTCACCAGATTCAATTTCAACAGTCATCTGGTAACTCTATTTCATTGTCCGTATCCACCTCGTCCATTTCACCCTCGCCAATGTCACTCTCCTCTTCTCCTATGGGAAAATAAGGAAGCTGATCACCAATTGAAGGAACTTCCATACCCTCGCGCAACTCATCGAGTAATCAACGGGATCAACGGTAAAAAACATCTCGTATGTACGAATGTCAAAGCCGATAAGCAACTAACGAACAGGCGTAAAAAAATTAAGAGGCTCAGAAGAAAGAAATTAAATGCCGAGTATATAGAATATGAAACTATGTAGATAATTTGCATGAGAGAGTAAGAACTCTCCTCTGATAGATAAAGAGAAGAATGGGACACCGAAAAAAAGTCGGACACAGAGCAAAAATTAAATTATAAAGAAACGAATATAGTAATTAGCAATAATAATTAATTACAGAATCATCTCGTGGATTCACGCCACCGACGAACAAATCACCAATCTACCGTATAACCGCATCGAGAGATTTAATTACAATCCTAGGATATACTTCGAAGAAAGAAATTGGAAAATTACTACCGATTGAAGCATATTGAAAACTGGTGATACAGCCTGATATAACAACATTAGCCAAAAGAGCCGCATAACTCTAGGAAGATATTCTATGCACTAAGCAACTGTGTGAAGACCTACTAGTAGGTAAAAGATCTTGTGATAACCTATATAATCCTCGAAAAGGCACACAATAAAACTCAACAATTGGTAGATAAAATAAAAATAATATATAAAATACCGTCAAATAAAAGAAGAGGTTTGGTAGATGGAATAGGTTCTATCGCCAAAACATTGTTCGGTACCTTGGACGCCAACGATGAGAAGCTCATTAATAAACAACTAGCCGTGCTACACGACTAAAAAATCAACTAAAAGTCATTAATCATTGGACACATAGATAATTTAGAGTTAACATTAGAAGAAAACGTTAGAAGAAAAGACAGTAGCAGCATTTATTGAACAAATTAAAGGACAAGGATATTCTTTTAGTCATAAACATGACTTGGACGAACATTTTACCTTACTTAACAATCTAATGAGAGATACTATTGAAACGATCGACTACATAACATATATCAAAGAAGGGATTTTGCATCCTAGAATATAAATGTCAGTAAAAAATATAATTACTAATTTAAAAGAAACAGTTACGAGATGGGAGAGGTTCATTTGGACACGTTACAATCAGTGATGCACATTTGGCTCCCCAGCAACACGGAAAACCGCCCCATCATTTCGCCGCTGCGCGAGAGCGAGAGTTACAATTAGACACGTTGCAAATGGACACGTTATATTGGACATGTTAATATTGGACACGTTAATATTGGACACGTATCATTTGAACATGTTAATATTGGACACGTATCACTTGGACACGTAAATATTGGACACGTTAATATAGGACTCTAGGTTAGATTAGGGTTAAGGTTATTAGGGTTAGGATTAATCCAATATTTACGTGTCCAATATAACGTGTCCATTTGCAACGTGTCCAATTGCAACGTGTCCAAATGAAGGCTATTCTTACGGGATTACCAAAGAGATTATATTCAATTTAAATAACTAAAAATGGATAATAATAGAAAAAATTACTAAAATTAATGCTTACTACGATCGTAACAATATCTACCGGGTATGTAAATATGAAACCGGAATTTTTTAATAGAAAATACACGTTTATTGCATGAAATGATAAAAAATATTTTATTCGAAGTATTGCCCATCGCTAGCTATACATTTTTCCCACCTGTCTGACAATTTGTGGTTACCACGCCAAAAAAATTGTTGCTCTTTTGAGCCAAACTAGTCATCTAGCCATTTTCGTACATCTTCGTAAGAAGTGAAGCGCTGCTGAGCAA